GCTGACCCAGACTGGCCAAGGGGCTACTCCATACCATATGATGTCATGCTCAGCATATAAACTGGGGGAGCTGGCCAGGGGGCAGCAATCGCGGCTCAGGGATGGCCTGGGCATCAGTCAGCGGGTGGTGAGCAATTGCATTGTGCATCACTTGCTTTGTATAGTCTATTATTTTTATTTTTATTTCTATTTCCTCTTCCTCTGCTGTCCTCTTAAACTGTCTTAAACCACGGGTTTCACTTTTTTCCCCCCGATTCTCTCCCCCATCCCACTGCGGGGGGGAGTGAGCGAGCAGCTGTGTGGTGCTTAGTTGCTGACGGGGGTTAAACCACAACAGTTGCATGCATGGGTATGGGTATCTTTCTGTGACTGTAATGCATATGCTGTTTGTTCTGAGCAGTCTCTCAGCTACGGCCTCTATAAAAAAAGTAGAAGGTATTTTGGGGCTGAGTGTGCTACAACTCCGGTCATTCTGGCATGGAGAGCACAGAGAAGGTGCACACCTATACCCATCAGTCTCAGTGGCTCGCTCTTCTGCCAGCCTGCCTCTAGAGTAAGCGTGATCAGAGCACACTTGTGAGATTGGTATGCCTCTGTCTTGTTAGAGAAGCTTTACTCTGGAGCTTAGTTGGTGCTCTGGACTGCTTGTTACTGAGGCAGTGGCATCATGATGGAGAGACTGTCACGCATGCACATCCAGAAACTCTTAGGTACCCACAGGTTTAGGCAGCAGTTTGGCAGTGCTTTTGAGAACATCACTTGTGGCTAAGGAATGAATTGGGTACCTAACCACATTAAGAAGCCTGGGATTTATTTATCAATGAAACAGATCTTTCACCCTGAGGATCTTATTTGCATTTTCCTGTCCCTTTTAGCAGAATATCCTTTTGTAGTTGCTGATGCCTGCCTAACAATGTATGACTCCCTTCCTCAGCTCCATCTGTGTTGCCTTCTGCAAACCTGCTATTGGGATCAGGCAGCAGCAATCTGAGGAAAAAAGTAGCTTGAATCAAATTCTTATGAGGAGTCTGATTCCCTTAAGCCACAACACTGTAAAGGCACATGTGCCTTATGATTCAGGACAATATTGTTACTTTATTATCACCTTAAAGTTGACAACGAGAGAAAGAAAGACAAAACATCTTACCATAAATGATAATAGTTGCAGTCCAGATAGAATTCCATCAGTTAGGAAGCATGACGGGTATTACAGTTGCTTAATTTCTTAACACAAGTGCTGAAACTACCGCTAGAAGACAGCTGAAGGCAGTCTTTCTTTATTTTTGTGGCTGTTTGGGTATCCAAAATGAGGACTTTATTTAGATAAAATTCTACGGTTCTCTGTACTCATGAAAGACTCCCATTACAGTGAGTTTGAATTTTTCTTGACAGTAATTTGAAAAATGTTGGCAGTGTTTGATACTACTATTGCTCTGACTTAAAATACACACCTAGCAAGTGCAGTGGGTGTGTGAAGGTTAAGTGTATGAATTGATATTGATCAGTATTTTATAATATTAAAGTGTTGTGTAGAACTGTAAAAGCTATGTCAATAAAGAGAGGAAAAACTTCTGACAGAAAATGGAAATAATTTACTTGTTCAGAGCTAAAGCAGCAGAAATTCAGGAAAACAGATTTTGTTTGTAGGCTGACTGTTTTTGTCACTGTTTTACAAAGGCATTATTGTGTAAATACTCATTAAGTGATTAATTACCGCATGAATTCTGTTCACAATATATGTAGCTTTGTGAGCTCCGTTGTAAGTACTGGGAGACCAGGTGTTATAAACCCAGGTATGTTCACTGTGTGTTAAAGGCAAACAGGTGGGGAAGGACTAGGTTCGATTTCTTCTACTGAACGTGTATAGGAAAATCCTCTTCTCCTCCTAGCAGGAGGCAACTCTTCCTGCTGCAGTTTAGGGGAACAGTTGGGTATTTGTGACTATTTATTTACTAATTGACAGATAGTGAAAAAGGATATATTTTGCCATAACCAAGGACAAATGTTTAAAGCAAATAAAATTGGATGTTCTTCCTGGACCCCTGCAGGAAACTTGCTGCCTTATCATCTACTGTAGTTAAAGGTGCAATTTTGTCCTGTTTTTGGCTAGAGAGCAATTCAATGCCTTCTGTCCAGTTCTTTGTGTGGAGTGACTAGAAAGTGTATTTTACAATGCACGTTAGAAAATAAGCAGATATTTATATTTGTCTATTATTTATCATTTTAGGTTCTATCTACATCATGGAAAAGCCTTTGCTTTTGTATATATTTTTATACTACTGGCATTTCATAAATGGTAAGAAGCTGAGTCATAAGAAGCAGTAGCACTGTTTGTTTCCTTTCCATGTATAAGCACAGAAATGTTAATTCCTCAGTTTTCCTTGAGGTGCTACCATTTGTGTTGTTTTTTTTTTTTCCCTTAATGTTTTAAATAAAAAGGTCTTAGCATGCTTTTACATTAAACTAGATATGTGTGCTTAGCATGTGTACTGTGATATGGGTCCAGGTTGAAACCCTTCCCCGGGTTTCAGCATAGACACCATTTCAGACAAGGTACTGTTTGCATTAAACAAAAGGTTCTGTTGGCACTGTCAAACCTGGGAATTGCCGTGTGTTCTTTAACATCGTGTGTAAAAACAGTTGGCGTTTATATAAACAGAACGTTCCCATCTGAGGCGCTAACAATTGCCTGTTACTGTGGCGGTGTTCTGAAAGCAACAGCTGAGGGGCTGTGCACACACGTTTGCCTGTTTTTGGTACAGTGTCACTCTGCGTCCATGCACAAAGCAGGTGTTTGCAGGTATAAATAGCCCAGTTTGTCCCAGACTTGCGCAAGTGCATGCAAAAATGTTTAACTTCTCTGAACAGAGGAGATACTTTTTGTCCTTAAAATGTCCTGTGTATATGGTAAGACGTGACTTCGAATATTAGGCTTATAATTGGAAAATTAAGTTGTCTTCCAAAATTTGTTTTTCAGCTTTATTCACGGTTGAAGCACCCCAGTCACTCTACATTGTGGAACATGGGAACAACGTGACCATGGAATGCACGTTTCCAGTGAATGGCAAATTAAAGTTTAGAGATCTAAGTGTCAGCTGGGAAAAGAAAGATGAATTAAAGAAGCAGGTTTATGCACTTCTCAAAGGAGAGGAAGACTTTAAAAGTCAGCACAGTGACTTTAGGGGAAGAATAAAATTGTTGAAAGAGAATCTGAGCTTGGGACAGTCTCTCCTTCAGATCACTGATGTGAAGCTCAGAGATGCAGGGTTTTACCGCTGTCTTATTGGCTACGGGGGAGCCGACTACAAGACGATCAGTCTGAAAGTTAAGGGTGAGAGTGCTACTGCAGGAGATTCAGTGCTATCTGATACTGTTAAAAGATTTCAGAGGGGTCCCTGAAGTAAGACATGACTAGTTTAACATTTAAAGAAACCTCTCCAGAGACAGGAGCCACCTCATGGCCATCGCGCAGCTGTATAACTTTGTGTTTCTGTCTAGGATGAATCCATGTTCTGTCCTTTATTTCCCATAATGACGTATGAGGAATGGTGGTGCAAAAACCATTTAGACAGGACAAAGACCAGAAAGCTAATGCAATTTTCTAAACAGTGTCAAAACTGTAATAAATCCTGTACCTCCAGTTACTATGGAGCAACACAATACTGATATTTACTTTTCCTGTCAAGAGTATTATTTACAAAATCCAAGCTGATGTACAGAAACGTGGCCCAGGGGCTGGGGATAAAGAAAAGGTGTCTTGCTAATACATTCTTCTAGCTTCCTAATAGTAATATTTTTTTTTCCACTTGTTTAGCTCCTTATAGAACTATAAACCAAGGAGTGGTGAGCACAGGAGACAACAAATGGAAGTTGACATGTCAGTCAGAAGGATACCCACAAGCTGAAGTGATATGGCAAAACAGAGAATATGAAGATTTGACTGATAAGGCAAACACAAGTTATGAAACTGGAAGTGACCAACTGTATCGTGTGACAAGTACCCTTACAATCAAAAGTAGAATTGATGAGATTTTTTACTGTATATTCTGGAATAAAGAGCTGCAAGAAAATACATCTGCCATTTTACACATAGCAGGTAACATTTCTAAATTTCATTTATGGTAATACACTTCAAGATACTATGTAGTTTTGTCCCAGTTGAATCAGCCATGATTTGTTTCTCTTTCCTATCTAATTTTAAAAAGGCTAAAAAGAAATATCTGTGTTGTTAAGTTTTGCTATCAGAGTATGCTTTCACCATACTAACATGTTCATCATGCATGTGTGGATGGAATTCAAGGATAGTAATTTTGCCTGACATACAGTCGTGTGAAAACTGAGTCTGAGCGTTTAAAAAATTTCCATTATTTGAAAAGCATATGGCTCAAAGCCTGGAAATTAAACCCTCACATATAAATTAAACACACCTACCAAGAATGTTCTGTTTTTCTGATGATAACTGTCAAATAAATTTGAACAATATGATCTTTTCCTGCCACTACAGCCTTTGCTTTGAGCATATTTAAATTTAACAAATTGTACACGTTTTTTTTTTTCTCATAAATTCTGGCTTGAAGGAAGATGCATGAATGGAGAAGACCAATACAGTTTCTCATTAGACCTTGTAAATGGGCATCACCTACTGCTTTTGCTTTCGGTTACTCTTAATTTCTGCATTGTACCCTGATACGTTTGTACAAGCTTTCAACCAGACTGGAGACCTGATCCAACTCAAAAATACTATTTCTGTTTATGAGACTGTTATTTGGTTGGTCATTTCTCTGGTCCTGTTCACTACACAGTTTTAGAAACGCCTATGCCGGCACACTTTTTGAGACTGACAAGGGGTGGAAACAGGCAACTGAGAGTGAGAAAGCCAAGTCATCCTTTTAACGAGCAGTGAGCAGGCAAGTTTGGTCTTAACCAGAAATGCCTCTGGGATTCAGGGAGGCCACTTATCCTTTGCGTTGAGAACTTTACCAGATGAAAGGGACTCTCTGTTCTCTGTTCTCAATCAGCCCTTTCCTGTAGTTCTGACAGGAAACCAAGCTCGATGTAACACTTTGTACCTTGGTGACAAGCAGGAGTTGTGACGGGAATCAAAGGCATTATCACATGGAATGCAGGAAGCAAAGATAAATATGAATATGTTCGTTCTTTTTTTTTTTTTTTTCCCCCTTTATTGGGATAATGAGATGTGGTGAAGTGCACCAACAGCACCTGACCTTAGACACAACCTAAAATGCTGTTACCATGTCTGAACTGCTCATAGCAGAAATAATATGATGAAAATGAAAGGAAAAGGGAGAGGCTTATGCAATTATGTAATGTCTTTTCCCGACTTGTTTTTCTTGAAGATTCAGCTGATGGTGTTCTGTGGACTGAGAGCAGACGCTTTGTTGGAGCAATTCTCGTTGTGACTGCTTTCTTTGGATCAGTGCTTCTATTTATGCTCTGCATAAGAAAAGGTATTAAAATTATTTATTTTAATGTATGTCAGTTATTATCTATCTGTTCTGTTAATTCATCCTCACAGAGGTGGAATGAGATAATAAAAGTCTGCCTTAGATCTTTCATCTCAAAATGACTAGATTTTTTACCACATTGTTTATTTCTTTTTCTTACTTAGTTAAATACTAGCGAGTTAGCAGAGTGGAACAGGCTGTCAGCCCCTCACAAACCACTTACCCATGCATCTCTATTAATTTTTCTTTTAGGTAATGATGTAGAGCAGTAAGATTAACATCTAATCTATTCAAACATCAAAGCACAGCTTATGCACCTACTGGAAATGGAGGTGTCCTATTCTGTGTCCTCCCTTTTGATTGGGGACCAGAATGCTGGGAGCAGACAGGGCACTGGAGTTTTTTGGTTTTTTTTTTTTCCTGCATTCTCTGAAAAATTTTACTGAACTGTGAGCACATTTTTTTTAAGTGAACTAATTGTTATGAATTCTACATATATCTTTATTCTGGTTAAACACCATAAAAATGGTGGACTACATATGAAGTGATATGTCCAAGGTTTTGAGTCTGAAAGATTTTTTTTTTTTTTTTTTACAAGAGGGAATATTCCCACTGTGGCTTCATACCACTTGATTCATTTCCTTGTTAAGTTTTGAGCTTTTTAAGTTCATTTCACTGACTTGAATTGGACATTCTCAGCATCACAGCATGCTGAAGAGCTAAAGCATTGGCAGGAATTTGTTTTCACTTGCTAGCTAACCAAATAAAAAACTTGGAGAAATAATTTTTAGGGTATCTGAGCATGAAAAGAATACAGTTTGCCCCCAAATTAAAGAAAAAATGTTTGAAAGTGTTGCTTAACCTGAAATAAGTACTGTTACATTTTTCTCCTTTGTTTGGTTGTTTGTGGTTTTTTTGTTTGTTTTTTTTTTTTTCCCTTGGAGGGAAGGAAGGTAGGTGTATTTGAGGATTTTACACTCAGGGGTATTTTTTACTCTTCGTTTCAACAGATACAATAAAGTCATTAAGATCTCAGAACATCCATAGGACTCATTTTAAAATGTTGAAAGAAAAGTGTTTTTGCTGAACATTCTGGGTTTGGCCAGAACTCTTCCTCTGTATGACAAATTTGTGGATTTTTTTAGCTGATGGGTAGCTACTCTTTTTTTCCAAATGACTTTTTGAATTATTTTTTTTTTTGGTGAAGTTGTCTGCAGAGAAAAAGTACCAGAGGCATTGAAGATGATACAGTACTCTTAGCATGATAATATCATACTGTCATGACTGTAAATAATTACAAGAAATGCTCCAAAATCCTCAACAAGATAGTTCACTAAATGCTCCACTTGAAATTCTAGAATTTTATAGGAGATGTAAATGTGTGTAGCTAGTATGAAACTCAGCTAGTACTAATGCAAAGGCTACTTGTACTGTCTTTTCAAGTGGTATCTCAAAAGCTTCCACACTAAGAGAGGTGTACTTTCAGAGGTGGTATAGCAGAACTGTTGGTTTTCCTGTCTGCCAGCTCTCTTCCACAGTGAAAACCAAAACCAGCCCTAATTTCTGTCTGGAAGTTACACAAAACCATCTGTAAGCAAGCTCTACACTGAGTGTTCATGTTCAAGCTCCATAAAATAAATACAAGATAGAACTAAATGTGGATATTCAGTGTTTTGGTGACAAACTCATCTCCTTCATCGGTGCTATGGAAAGATGTCCTGGGAGAAGTGTTTGTAAGCTTAACAGGCTTGCAAGTGATGCTAACAGGCTGCAGAAGGCCTGTAGATAACCCTGCATGTATAAGAATATACTTGTCCTAAGAGCATGATAGGACTAGGAGCAGAACATGAAAGTGGAAGAAGGGACAGCAAAATCCTTGACTTCTCAGAAGATTCCCATCTGGGGATTTCAGTGAAGGTCAGAAGTTTCCTAGGTTGCTTGAGTAATATTTATTGTTTGTGTATACATGATAATGTATATACAAGTCATAATGTATGTGATTGTCATGATTATGTTACATGTATGTGCATGTCATAAACTACAAGTTGATTCAGAAGCTAAAGTAGTAGCAACAGGTTTTTCTTTTAAAACCCAAGCTGTCCTAGATGACCAGACAAGTGATTCTTTCAGAACAGAACCACCATGGAATATGGGCTTTTTTCCCCTCAAAAAGCACTGAGAAGCTCTTGTTCCCTGTTGCCCAATATGTTCAAATTCTGGGTGAAAATATACAATGGAAAACCATTTGAACAAGTATTTTTCAGTGATGTCAGTGTATAGTATCAATGGAGTTCTGGCTTAGGAACGAGGAAAAGAAATTGGAAAGGAAACAGACAGACTGGGGGCACTGAAAAATATATTTTAAAGTCTTTGAAGAAATGGAGTGTTTTGAGAACCAATCATTACACTATGCTAAGTGTGCCCTTCCCACGAGTGTGCTTAAGCCCCCATTAGATCTAAAGTAAGTATTTTGTTTTCTTTTTGATTTTTTTCTCTTCCTTTCTTTCAGCTAGAGCAAATAAGGACAACAGAACACCTGTGGCTCATTCATCAATAGCAAGTATGTACATATGGCATAAATCTAGCTCAGTGTGATTCTTGTGGAAATAATTGCTTGAGAATTTACTTTGTAACAGTGACAACCAAACACAGATTTACATTCAATTTTTATTTTGCTTTCTACCTCTCATTTATGTGAACAACTATAAATTACAATTGAAGAGTGACTTTTCATTACTATGTCAGCTTCTTGAAAGGAAAACATGAAAGAAAAGCATACTTGTTCCAGGAGCAGATGCAGTCCTCATATGCACAAGAAAATGGCAGAGTGGTGTGCTGTGTTTTGGAAAGTCTGTGATAGAATGGGACATGGTCCCTGAAACATATACCTCAGGATGGCAGCACATCCTGGTGTGCAGAGTCTGTGCTGCAATTTGAGCCATGTTGGCACGATCCTGTGTTTTCTCCAGTATTATGGTGTGCATTTGAGGGTCTTTGTCACAACATTGAGGACAGAGGTTTTGGCCCTGTTCAGAGAAACATGGGAAAAAGCCTTAACTTCCCTAACAGTTTCTTTTTCGTTCTGTTGAGATGCTGATGCTATTTGCTATGAACAAAGCTCAGTAAATGGCCAGTA